CAGTTTATTGCACTCTTCACATTTCCAGTCACTTATACCTAAGTAAAAAGCCAGTAAACAAGTCATTATTATGATTTTTTTTAAAAGCATATCTGCTCAAGCAAAAAATTATTCTTTGGCTCCTTATATTGCTTATTGACATCACATTGAGAAATCAACATCAAATTCCAGAACAATGCATGAGTGTAATGGCAATTATTGGCAGGAGTTGTTTCTTATATGCGATACCTTTATGCAGTGCGACGTGTATGTCGCAGGCGCGCTTGTGCTTGTAGTGCGCGCCGCACACCTCGCAGATGTACGGGGGCTTGGAGTCGTCGTGCTTCTGCTTGTGCTGCTCCAGCCGCACTGAACATGACACAAACTTAGACCTAGCAATACATCACATCTCTATACATACATTAATGTTACAGAATACTCACACAACGAGGTATACTTAGCGTCACATTGGTCACAGGGGTGCAACACCTTTTCCTCGCGTTTTTTTCTTTTTTTTGGACCAGTACTGGACTGCAGTTTGTTCCTCCGATGTTTCCCATTGCTCAATGTTTCCGGCTCATAGTTCCCACTGTCATCATCATCATCATCATCATCAAGAAACTCATTCTTCTTGATCTTCAAAATTGACTCCAGCGTGTCATTGGAATTCTGAAAACTTTGAATGGAAAATGTTAACAAATGGCATAAATGCTTATTAAATACAGAGAGACATGAAAGATAAGGCTTAGCAGTTTTACATATTACTTGATAGCATAATTTAATAAAATTTATAAGAATTTGCATTCAATATTTAATTGCTTACAAATGTGTCTCTATCTTAAAATAATGTTAATGGTAAATAATTACAATTTTAATACAACATTGTAAATAATATATCAAATGGGGTAAAATGGTTTTTTACTCATCAAGTATGTCTTCTTTTTTGACATCCTTAAACTCTGCATCGTCTGTGCCATGAGAAGACAAGACATGGGCCTGAAATGCATCAGCCCCACCACTCGGTCCGACAAGCCCACAAATGTTACACTCCCAACTGTAAACAAATGCAAAATTATTACATTAGGTCATTTGTTCTATACTAAAATGTATAAATATAATTATGCAGTATAAAAAATGCTATAAATTATATCCTAACCTATCTTTGTCGACTTTGTGCCTCTTTCTGCGTTTAACCTCGGCACTTGATTTCTTTCTTCGCTTGTCAACTTTCCTCTGCCGCTTGTGTTTGGTGAGAGCCAGAGGCTCATCCTCAGAATCATTATCTGTTTTACATAAATCATCGTACACAATATCAAACACTTCGTTTTTCACTGTACACAAGGAAGACGACGTTCGGCAATCGAACAACGGATTTTTATTTATAATAGCTTCGAAAGTGTCTTTTAACTTCTTGTATTCTTTTTCAGCGCGTTCAAGTTCATTGACAAGATCGTAACAAGTCTTACACACATATTTAGGATAATTCTCGCAATGAGTTAAGGTGGCTTGAGATAGTTTGCACAGGAATTCGTAAAGAGTTATGTTGGACACCACTGTTTTAGTATTGTGTATCTCGTAACCATCCGCATGACGATCCGCGCACACTAAACAATCGACAGGTTCTCGTTTAACTGGTACCTCTACTTCTTGTTTAATAAAATCATTCCTCTTTGAATTATCTTCATCATTTGCTCCACTACCGGAGTTCATTGCACTTAGTTCGGCCATGTTTATCTTGAAAGTTTACTCTTACTTTACTAACAAATCCAAAAAGGAATATAGTATGGAATATGTTACACTCATAACTGTGATAATAGGAAGTTGGAAAGTTTAATAGTTTTCTTCATAGAAGTAAAAAATACACAAAAAGATGCAACAGCGCAATTGACACATTCAACAATTGACGTTTCAATGTAGACAACACAGAGTATTTATAGCACTATAGATAAATAATGAAAAAATGAACATGACACAACTATGGTTTTATTTTTTTTATTTTATAATGATAAGAATTACTTTAATATCATTGTATTTATGACAAACAAGGCAATCACATTTTTTTCTTTTTTTTTCATATAATAAACGGTGGTCGCATGGGTGTAGTACTTGACTCGTAATCTGCAGGTTCGGGTTCGACTTCCACTATTAGCTAATTTTATCTCGTCTTTTGATGTTTGGGAAAATACCTTATTGTAATATTATAACCCAAACGCTGTCGTATTGTTATATTTTGGTCTTTATAGCTTAAAATTATATTAATTTATATACATTAACTAAATCAGTATCGGTATTTTACACATCATGCAATTAAAGTTCGGAACAACGTAACAAATACTTAGCCTATTTATTCATCAGTAATCTCTCCCTAAAAAAATCAGTACAAATAAATTTGAGTCAACGATGCAACAGTAGCCCTAGTTATAATCATTGACCATCCATCCCCATCCGCCCCAATTTCAACGGTAAGTGACCTGCGTCCACCCCCGGTCACCCTCCGATGGCGGCCAGCGGAGCGGACAGTTACCGTCCTACAGTTACTACCATCAGTTACAGCCGGGCCTCTGACGGTAACACACCGCTATAGTGATCAACCGCGATAACATATACTCGTAAACTTTAAGTAACTGTTCACTAAGTTTATACTTGTTTGCGTGATTTTTTTTAAGTGAATATTCAATGTGCTGTGGATTTTACGCAATGTTTTACTTATAGGTAAGTTCTAATGACAGGTGCTTAAAGTTTCAATTTACGCGATGAGCGATATCTGCTTACCCCTATTTTAAAATAAGACAGGTTAGTTGTATTAAATTAATGAAGTAAATTTAAACAGTTTAGTTATTTGCAGAAGATTTAAAAATCAACATATCGAAACTTCAAAGCCAAACAATCATTGCATTCATATTAAGAAAAAAATTTTTTACAACGAAGTTTTAACCAAGTAGTTTTACTGTACTGTACAGTTTTTATACATCATCACTAACTAAAAAGCCTTTAAATTGTTTATGAAAAAAAAATTTTTTTTTGCGTTCAAACACATACGCGGTTCGTATTTGAGTCGCAAATGTCTGGCCAGTGGCTTATGGATACTCGCTGACCGTAACATCTTCATTATTACTTTAAAAATATATTTTTACGTAAAAAAAAAAATTGAATACAACATACTCAAAGGCCCACGTGACCACAAGGTCATTTTTACAAAATGAGCAGATCTGTATTATTGTGTTCAATGAACATGAAAAATAAACAGCACGCGCATAAAAATGAATAATCCTAGTATAAATATAATAACGAAGAAGTACATGATATATGATTAAAGGTATGTATTACAATAAAACAATGTAAATAATAAAACAATTGCTGCTACATTGTCACCTCATGGGTCTTAGATTCTATAAAAAAGAAAATTTAAGTAACATTTTCGGAGTTAATTACAAAAATCTACATTTTTATTTGAGCACTTTGTGCTAATTGCAAAATTAGTTCTAGAGTCTAGAATAGGGAAAGTACAAAAATTCATGACAAATTAAATTCTAAGCCAATCAGTCTGTTTTGTTCCGTCAGTTGTCTATTTTTGGCGCCGAAATCGCCTTCAAACATAATTGTGTGGAAGAGCTAAACGGTTTCTAAATGCGATTTGTAATTAAGCGGTACCTCGGAGAAATTTGAAATAAACTGTTTTTGGCATTTTATTTTAGGGATTTTTTAAATCGAAAAAATGATCTTTGTCAAAAGTTAAATTGTCAATTTATTTAGTTTAGTCAGATTATAAACTGGCGAAGTTTATTATCTATAGATAGCATTATACGAGTACATAGAAACGGCACTAAGACGTAATCATTTTTACATGTAGAGCATATCTTAGGGATATACCTGTACTTACGACATTATCAAGCCATGTTTTACAAAACAAATAACAATTTAGTTGCGTATGTAATAGATTACTTGGTCTAGTCTTAAAAACGAATATTTTACATTTTATTTCATACTAGCTTACGCTCGCGACTCCGTCCACTTGGAATTAAAAAACAAAAGCAAGTAGCCTATGCGTTCTTCTAGACTATCCTCTACATCTATGCCAAATTTAATCGACATCCGTTAAGACTTTGAGGCTACAAACTCTAACAAACATCAATCTAAACTTTCGCATTTATAGCATTAGTTAGTAAGATTGTAAACATGTCTGTTGTTAAGTGCAACGTGCTGGTTACCGTGTTAAAGTAAACAATAAGTAAGTGTGTTTTGTCGATACATTGTCGGTCAATGATCGAGCGCATTGAATCAGGGTCAGGGTCTCAGGGTTGTCGCGTGCTGCGACCTGTCACCTGTCACCTGTCACTGCTTATGATGAATTGATCAACAGTAAGGCATATTTATTTCAACTAGACACCGAAAGTTTGTAAACTTTAGAACTATGAAAGTTGTTTATGGCGGGAATTCAATACATGGTTTGCGTCTTTTTTACTTTTTAGCACAAGTTTATGTGAAATTAAACAAAATAGTTCACTTCTTCACTTCTCTGCAATCGCAATATTACGAGTATTAAATTATAGCGATAACAATGTTAAATAACTTACCCAAACCCAAACCGGGAGAATTGATGGGTGTAGGAAGTACAACCTGATTGTCCCCCGAGACACGGGAAGGGCCGAGGGGAGGGCTATCGCGATACACTCCAGCGCCTCTATGAAGTTCCTGACGTCACGGATGCCAAGCTTTGTGCGTTCAGGCGCCAGGATTTGCCCATTTATCAGTTATAAGAAAATTATTTGCTCATATCGTTATCTAACAAGACGGTTTGCAATATTGAATCTTGAATTTTATTTATCCTACCGCTTATTTGTCTAAACTTTCTGTAAAGTAAATAAAAATACTGGTATGAAACAATAACATTTAGCAAAAAAGCATATCTAGTAAGACGCGAGTGACGGCAGCGCAGCGCTGGCACGGCGTGACCGGCGGCGCCACTCGCTCGGAACCACTGTTATACACACAAACACACAGAGCAATGCAATAAGGAGATGTAATATGCAATACTGACACCGTGCAAATAAAACAGGTGTTAAGTAGAATCTCTTGACTGTAGCTTGTTTCTATTGTTTAGAGTTCAGTGACCTTATACTTGAAGAATCATTCATAGCATTCAAAAACATTGCTAAAATACTGACAACACAGATAGCAGTATGATCGCATTAGATGTTGAGTCTCGCAACCAGGCGTCAGACACCCATAGGGTACACAGCGCTACTCAACGGTCTAACTAACATGTAAATGCCATCTTAAAAGAAAGCGAAATTAACAAGAGATGGTCGACTCGATTTTGATATCTTTTTCCGCTTTCTAAATACTGATGGAAGACACGATGCGGCGTGCGTGCTGCGTGCCTACAGAGCTTGAAGTGCTGCTAAGTGCTTACAGTACGCCGTTGCTTAAACAATATTAATATCATAAATGGGTATAGATTTAACTTGGTTTTTTAATACAGTCTTTGAAGGAGTAATGGGAACGGAAGAAAATCACCGTGTGGCTCTTATAAACTAGCAAGTCCTAGCTGTCACATAAAGCCTCTTACTAGAAAATCCGATGTCAAATTCTAGTAAAGCAAACTTAGGGATATTTTGTTCACTGTCTCTTGTATGCAGGTGTAACTGCGGAGAAGCAGCAATCCATTGCGGCGTTGGTGCGCTGCGGGCGCGGTGTCGCGCGGCGCGGTGCCGGCATGGTGCACTAGCAATATGGCGTTACCGCTATGGATAGCAGCGCTAGCGATGCTGGCTCCTTCTGTACGGACACAAGGTACAGGATATGTTTTGCATGATATTATGCATTGTTAAATATTCTTGTTTATTTATGTAACTAGATCATCGTTGTTATATGAAATGATGTATGATAAATCTGCATGTTTGGCGTCTGTCTGCGCTATTCGATTACTCTACAAAAG